TAAATGTGCAAATAATTGGGAAGAATACAAGTTGCACTGCTTCCCAGACTACGCTAGGCCTACCAATCAAAGGTTAAATTATACTACAAACCCTCCTTCCAGCTAGTTTTTATCCATATATAAAGTATACTTTAACTGAAGGTAGGCCTACTATGATAGGATAGAAAAACATTAATTCAAGGACCAAAAGAAAACAACCCATGATTACATAATTAACGTTTTATTTAGATCACACAACTACAATCTTTGGAGTTAAAAATTAAGAAATCAAAACCAAAATATCAGATGACTAGATGTTGTTAGCTAACGAACAATTTTTGTGAAAATGAAGAAATGAAAACAAAATATAAGACTTATGTAGGCCTACATATTGTTAGCTATCAAACAAATACCTAATCTTTGTTTCAGTAAACTTAAAAATACCTAACATGTTAATTTACTGAAGTAATGTTACTATAAAAATCGAAAATTTGTGTGGCAATAGTTCTGAGTACTTACAACAGCATAACTATAACCTAAGTTGTTATAACAAATCAATACCACAACATTACAAAATCAACATAAATAATTTACTTTGGGGAAAATAATCTCTTTACAATACTATCTCTATCAGCAACACTTTGCACTGAAAACCAATCCACATAATAGTGTACACTTTTTCATGACAAGTCCTTAATCTAACATTGTAGATTGTTGCATAACTATGAATTTCAAAACAGGTCTTCTTTGGAGACATTTAGGGCCTACTTTTAATCGTTTTATTTGTGAACACGCATTGAACATTGTGAACAAACATCATTGTCGCCACTGTGTAAAAAAAATATATTAGGCCTAGTACTTAGAGAAAATTTGAGTTTTAATCGTAAAAAATTCGACACCTGGATGTTGTTATCAACATATCGGCGTTGTAAAACTTTGTTAAGATGACAACGTTGCCAGATAAAATGTCAGACGGCATCAACTCCGCCTCATCTGTAGCCATGATATCTGATAGCCAATGGTTGTTTGAGTTAGCATGAACGGGTCCATAAACAAAACGTAATTCATCCATAGTAACACCTTTGTATGTACATGTATGACTTATTTTCATCATTTCCCAGCGTTCGATTGAAGAAAAGTGTACCTCCCTTGACACACCTCTACATTGTAGAATACTTTTTGGAAGTCTGACTTCAAAGTCATGATCCGAAGAAGAAAAATCTTCATTCCCTTGCCACAATATGTCACCGGTAGCTACATCACGCAGTATTATCCAGTTAACTTGAAATCCGCTTAAAATATCTTCCTTACTTGCAGTAGTTTTATTTTCTTTATCTGTTTTTATGTCTTTTTCATCCGCCATGCTCTCTATAGAAGGAGCCATTTTAATATTCAAAGGTAAACCTATTAAAAAAAATTGAATAAATTGAAGGAAGAGTTAAAGAAATAAGTTTTTATTTATAAAACAATTTTACTGTCTCATCTTAAAATTAAAAACAATAGCTAGCCTATTTTGCCTTTCATAGATTCTAGATGTCCTTCTCCTCTATGACTGTACGAATGTAAAAAGAAGCAAAACAGGTGTCGTGTGCAATCCCATTTAACTCAATATTGCTGTAAACTTCCATCCAAACCAGACTGTTTATTTAAGGTGAGCCCTACCACCAGCTAAGCCACACATTAAGCTTATGGATTGCAATTGTACGGGATTCGAACCCGCGCATGTAGGAAGACCTCAACGCTACCTTTTACTATAAATAGAACTAGACATTCATTCCCATATTAAATTTGTAGCCAGTTTTGTAACAAAAATCGTCGTAGTTGATGTGAGCCACCGACAGATTGTGCTTATCTAAATTACTGATTTATACACAATCTTTTTTACCAATTAAAAGTAATGGAATGACTTATTGTTAGCTATAGCAACTGTTATGACCCATCAACTTGGTCAGCAATAAAAATAAGGTAGAAAATAGAGTTTTTAGTCACTAGCCCATTCTGTGACTGGCTCACACAACTATGTTCTTTTTAGCGAATTTCCCTATAGGGAAGTAGCTATTACCGTAGGTCTCATGGTAAGACTTAGGCCCGGGACCGATTTACTTTTTCATTTTGGTGTCCCCAGAGGCCAAAAACACCATTCGTTCAAATTTGTATATATGTATATATATATATATATAAATATAGATTTATAAATATATATATATGTGTCCGTGAACACGATAACTTGAGTAATTTTTATCCGATTTTGATGAAATTTGGTTTGAAGGTGTAAGGCGGGATAAACTTGAATGAGTTCGCGATCCAGCATGATCGGATAATGGGAACAGGGTTTTATGGGGGGTTTTATGGGGTAAAAATTGGTTTTTCTCACTTTTGACCCTCAATACATAAAATTTCCCAATTTTTCTCTTAACCTTCTTAAAGAGCTTTAAAAAACAAACAATTCAGTATATCAAAGTGTTTTTGTACAGTTATTGGTTACGGGGAAAACTAAAAAAATGGTAAATTTAAAATTCCCATGTTATTCTTATGGAGAATATTGTAAAATGTTGTAGTTTGCTTGTTTATGGATATATTTTGATCAAACTTGGCAAATATATTCATTTTATACTAAGCAATACTTATTTTACTTAAAACACGTACTTTATTAGTTTCCTTGTAGCAGCAAACCTAGGTACTCGTTAAACCTAATGTTATTTAAATAGATCAATTGAAAATCAATTCAGCCAAATGGAAATTCGCTTAGACGGCAGGTTTGCTGCGACGGGGGTATTTAACACAAATTTGGCTACAGCTGGTGCATATAGATGGGACGTCTACTTCTGTATCCAATAGTCAATGACGCTACACTATTTTTTCCTAAATAAAGATTACGTTAAAAGAACATTCATTATTATCAATGATTTCTTTCCGATATATCGATATTTTATTTTCGATAACTTAAGGCTATATTGATATTAACAAATTGAAACTTATCAGCTGACAACTACGATAAATAAACATTGTTCAGTATCAACAAACAATACAAAAATTATATTGAAATTAAACTGCTCTAAACTAAACTAACTAGTCTAGGCTAAGTTAAACAAACTTGCTGTAACATTTCAAAATTCCGTTTGATAGCCTATTCCCCAGATGCCTTTTCTGTTATCAAACGGAATTTTTAAACGGTAACTTAGCCTACAGCAAGTTTGGTTGGTTATATGTTAGGTTAGTTTGGAATAGTTTAATTTCTTAATCCAATATACAGGCTATTATTTTTGCCTAAAAAAGATTAGTTATTTAATCCTATTCTCTAATACGAGCTAATTTATAACTCAATAACCGGTTATTGAACCGATATAACTGAGACATATTTGCTATGTCTGTTTGTCTGTCTGTCTGTAATTTTAAATGCATTTGAATAGGATTAAAACAGATGGAATATGGATCATAAAGGAAAACAAGAATATCGATATATCGAAAAGAAATCATCTCGATAATAATGAATGTTCCCCTTAACAGGAAAGTAACAAGAGAAGTTAAGGATGCAAATGTTCAGGAACCAAGAATTCTTTGACATTTTTTAGGATAAATCATCCCTGTTGGCGCAGCATGCTGTTTGTGTTGTGATTTCCTGTGCTAGAAAAAAAGAGCAAAACGTCGCTTTTGGGTGCGTTCTTCACCGCAAGCGGCTTCAATTTATTTACGTCCTACACTTATTTGAATGAAAATATAGATTATTCGATTGTTTCACTCGATATATCGTTTGGATAGTTAGGTTAGGTTAACCTTACCAAACGATAAAACTTATAACTTATCGAATAATTGATATATCAATCGATATTTTCATTCGAATGAGTGTAGGACGTTAAGTAAAGTGCAGCCCCGCATTCCGCAAGCTAGGATTAAGTAGCCTACAGTGTGGCAGAAATGTTGTTACCTACAAGATTTTGAACGAGATAACGAAGATATGTTGGCTATGGAATTCATGGTAGGCCTAGCTTCAAAAAGGTTTTAAAAATGGCATGTGTATACTGTTGGAAAGGAAAGGAAGCGAACTGATCTAATAGAGCCCAGATAGCAAAACTGATGTTGGTAGGTAAACAAGTTTGACGTTTTGGATATGGGTTGAGAACGCTGCAACTTGTGTAAAACACGATTTTGGGTTATAACTTATGTACAACTTGTTTAGTATTTTTCATTGAAATTTTTAAAATGTTCAAACCAATGTATTACTAAGTTAACCTAGTCTAGGCTAGGAACAGCAGTAGGCTAAGGGCATAACTAAAATAAGTTAGCCTAGGCCTAGTTGACTTAAACAACATAGGCTAGGTAATATAAAAACAAGTTGTATGCCTAAGTGTAAAGGCGGCTTAAGAGTGCCTCGGACTGCATTGGAATTTCCTAATAATTACAATAGGCCTATAAAACCTACACAAGTAACTTATAACCATAAACATTCTGATACAAGGTTAAGTGGAGGAGAGGAAAAGTTGATGCAGTTTCTTACCTTGTTTAACTTATAATTAAAATTATTAGGCCTAAGTTACTCCCCGACATAAGCCTAAGTTTGCATTTTATCATACTAATAAATAGTGGTGGGAATCACCGAATGAAAATAACCGAATCAATCGGTTATTGATGCTGAATAGACTAATTAAGTTATTTTATCCTGGTTCGGTTAAATTAGTCTTACCGTGCGATTCGGTGATTTAGCTATTTAGTTGAATTAGTTTGTCACATCATCAGGTAACTAAAATTTATTCGGCGATTCGTTCGACTAAAAATCACCGATTGACGCTGAAAGACTAAATGCTATTCAGTTTCCCATAGGATAAAAATTAGTTGTGGTTTGTGATAGTGAATAATGACTAAAATTGATTCGGTGATTCATTCGACTAAAAATAACCGATTGACGCAAAAAATAACTGATTGATTATTCGGTCATGGAAACCATTCGGTTATCCCATCACTACTAATAAAGATTAAAGACCTTAGCCAAAATCGTGCTTATATAATCGAATATTCTTTCTCACCTAGGCCGCTGGATACGACCAACAACAAACTTGTTGTAATGCAGTGCACAGACTTGAATTCAAACCAAATTATGTTTTTGATTATAAGTTAAACATGATAATAGTATTATTCTACAAAGGTTCTTGTTCTTGAATTGAGTCAAAATTGTTCTAGGTTCTAGCAATTAGCAAACGTCAAACACTCAAACAACACTCAACAAAAACAAACTGAACGAACGTAAAAAAATATCGCAAAAATAGCAGTAGGGGTGGTGGGTACTGTACGGTACTGGAATGGGTCGAAGTCGAAGTATCAGTAATCGCTACTTTGTACTAGGTACTCGCCGTTCCAAAAAGTACCTGGATGCTGAAAGTGTCGAGTACTAGATACAATACAAAGTAATTGTGCAGTTTGCACAATTTGTTATTCAGGATTAGTTTTGCCAACAGTGTCATTTGGAGGCTTCTGATTTACTATAATAAAGGTTTACTAATTGAAAAATTAGTTTTATCCATAAAATAAAATTATAAATGCCTCAAATTCAATTTTTATTCGTCAGAAATGTGGCGTTTCGAGTCAAACTACCCTGTCGTGTTTTGTTTTCCTACTTGGTTTAATAACTATAAGGTTAAAAGATTCTTTCTTTAGTTGTCAAATCATTATTTTAAAAAAGGTTAGGTATGCCCAAGCAAGACGCGTTATTTTTTCACAAGTCCTTTTAGTGTGTTTTAATCGACAATCGATAGCAAGTGATGGTCAATACGACTACAAACGATATTGAACCGATATTTTGTCAACACTGTGGGGGTGGGGGTGATAAAATGGTCACCGAGATTCGAACCCGGCTCCTTCAATTTATAAGCCCGGCACCTTATCCACTATACCACCGAGGCCGATGGCATCAACCGTATCGTTGTGGTAATGGTGTTCTCTCAGCCAATCAGAAGCCTCCAAATAACACTGTTGGCAAAACTACTTAATCCTGGAATAAAAATTCAGCACCCAGTTTTGTAGAAGTCCGAGTGAGGTTAGCAATTATGAACCTCAGATTATGACGTCTTATATTTTTTAGGTATTCATTGAATATGTGACGCATACAATTGTATGAAAACAACTTGACTTGTCCATGCATGTAAAAATGACAAATAAACGTCTTATGTCAATTACTCGTGTACTCCCTGTTACGGGCAGTACCATGGTGGAAGGAATTCCACCATGTAGTACTAGACGAGTACAAGTACTAAACGATTCCTTGTAACGAAGTGTTGACTCAGACTGTCTACTGTTGCTGTAACAGTGTTCTTACAAGTATGGAATACATTCTAAAAAGTCTGATGTTAGTGGTGTTAATCACACTTCTCTTGACTTTAAAACTACTGACAAAAAAGAAAATATCCGTTTGATGTTTAAACGTTTAATAACATAAAGAAACGGTAGGCCTACACTTCGATTCCTGGTTTTATAAAATACTGAGAGCCAACAAATATTATATTCTCTTGTTAAACAATTGACTCAGTTAGTAGGCCTCTGGCCTAGAGTACTGTTAAAAGTATCCATATTCCATGGTAGTACATTGTACTCGGGAGTTTTATTTATTTGTATCCCCAACAGCACAATGGGCTTGCTGGGAACTTGTTCCAAGTCCATTGGCCCAAGTTCCCAAGCCTGGTTTAGACTCAGGGACCAAAGTCTGTAGGCTTGGTTTTGACTTGTTTTAGAGACCGAAGTTGGCAGTTGTTCAACTTGTTATGGGTTTGGCTCCCCAAGTCCAACCCAAGTCCCAACCCCAAACCTACAGTGAACTCATGGTCACAAACCCACTCTAAGCTTGGAATGATGGATACAAAACGGGTCTGGTGGATTAAGCAGGCTCATTATGGACTTGTTCGGGACTTGGAGACCCAAGCCCAATTTTAGTAGGCTCATATTGGACTTGGCTTAGACTCATATTGGAATTGGTTTTAGCACATTTTAGACTTGGGCCAACAAGCTCACACCTATAGACTCACTCAGAACTTGGTACGAAGTTTTATATACTTCAATTATTGTAATGATCAGAGATAATAATAATAATTATTATTATAATAGGCTATAGTAATAGTAATATAATTTATACCTATTTAACATATAAGCTGTTTCACACCATTCATTTGCTAGCCCACATTTTTTCTTATAATTAATTTTTTACCAAGAAAGATTTATAATAAAACTAGCAAAGTACCCGTCCTTCGTACGGGGTTGGCAGATAAGTATAAATAATGCTTATTGTACAGAAGTTATGGGAGAGGACACGGTTTAAGAAAATTTGGTCTTTTAATTTATACGGTATCCTATAGTGTCCTACAGTATCTACCATAGCCCTAATTTCCTACCACTGCACCTAAACCATGAAAAAAAGTTAAGTTCTCATTGTGTACCACAACTTTTTGTTGCTGGTTGGTTAAAATTAGCTAGTGCTGCACCCTGTTGGTAAGCCTTATACCTTTTTAATGCTATTTAATATCATAGAACCAACTTGTGAAGTTGAAACGGCTGACAAAATTCTTTAATTTCTTTAAATATGAATACTCATAAGGTTTACATGAGAAACTCCAGAGCCAGAGCCACTGGGGTGGAGCCTGAAAGGATTTTTGAGGTAAGAATATGTCTATATGTTAATCGGGAATGTCAGCTATCATCATACTAAATTTCAACCTTGTTGGTTTAGTATTTTCGCGTTTACTTGTCACAAACATCCATCCATACATCCGTACATCCAAACTTTCTTACTTATAATATTAGTAGGATAAGTAAACTGTTGTAATATTGCTTGTTTATGGATCGATTTTATCAAACTTGGCAAATTTATTTATTTCATAGTAAGCTAATGATATGTTCCTTAAAATCACACTTCGTTACCCTCCCTGTAGGCAGCAAAAACCTCATTACTCGTTAAACCTAATGTTATTGAATTAGATTTAATTGAACATAAAGTCACACAAATGGAAATTTGCTTTGGCTGCAGGTTCGCTGCGGTAAGGGTATTATGGAATTGTAATTTATGTAGAAAGAATACTTTGTGGTAGTACATGATTAACTCTAATTCATATTAGATACTAAACAAATCAATCCCGTTGGTGCAATTAGTAGCGCCATTTAAACAGCTACTGCAAATCAGCGCTACTATTCGTATTTGCTAGCAGCTATACCCGTGCCTTGCAACGGGGTCAGTATGCAAAAGAGACAATGTTGGTTCTTAGAAATATGCCAAATGGTTTTCCAAATGCCAAATTTAGAAACAAAATTTAACTGTACTACTTTACTTTTTTGTTAACACTTACTGTGATGACTTATTTATGCTACCTTCGATACAAAACCAAAGATAGATTTTAAGGTATAATAAAAGAATTTATTTCATGGTTTGCACTGTAAACGAAAAACTATCACAATAGTTCCAAACCGAAAAATAGGAAAATAGAAATAAATATGGAAAATAAGGGTAATTTTATAAAAATTTTAGTGAAATTAAAATCAGGCCAATGGGAATTCGCTCAGTCTATAGATTTGCTGCGGCAGGGGGGTTATTACTGTTTACACAAAAAAAATAAAAACCTCATAAAACTCAGGATAAGAGCCTAGATTGATAGGGCAATGATTATAGAATCTTAATTATTTCCTATATCCATGAACAATTTTTTTACAACGAACTATTCCCTGTAAAATATTATTACGCCACACTACATTATTTTGACGAACTTCCCACGCAAGGATTTAGTCCAGAAAACAGCTGTTTGCCACCAGATTATTCAAATGGGGTTTCATTGCGTACTACTGTGCTGCAATGAGTTTTGCCGGACACCAATCAGCTGATTATACTGTATTTAGGTGGCAGTGAGTGGTTATAAACAAAAACATAGCCTCTCTTAGAGGTTATGACTAGTGATTTTTAGTCCTTTAGTTGGTGGAAATATATAAGGATTTGTACGGATTTAGTAGTATGGCGTAAACTATCGTACGTAACTCGTCCAAAATGTGTGTACCGGACTCGTATGGTAATCCCGTACTCGACTTCGTCTCGCACGGGAACGACCACACTCGTCCGGTAAACACTTATTTTCAGGACTAGTAACGTAATATACTATTACAGCATTTCACAAATATTAGAACAGACTCAGTATAATAGATCATAAACCTAAACAAATGAAGTATGTAACTGAAAGAATCATATACTAATGAAATTCAAATTACTTTAACATATGGTTTGACAGCTCCATTTAAGTAATGTCAAATAATGTTTACATTCGGGCTAGTGACATCATTATTTTAAATTTATAATCCTTACCCTCTCTGTTCTAATATTCGTGCAGTATTTAATATGTTTGAACCAGCTGTGTGGAATTATGAAATCAACATTCATTTGACAGTTAATTCTGCTTGTTTACATTTTTAAACTTTGTAGGTTTGTTCTTTGTTACCATGGATACCATCAATCAATATTTACTTTTAAATCTCTCACCTCAAATTTTTGAAAGCCCACGGGGCAGAGCCCTAGGACAATATCGAAGCGGGAATAGTTCTATATGTATCCTCGGAGCTGTAGCTTCATTTGTGTGCAATTTGAGCCCAGTCGGTTCAGTAGTTTTTGAGATTACCTCATACAAACACACACACACACAGACACCACCTCTTCTTTATAATAGTATAGATAGATAGATAGATAGATAGATAGATAGATAGATAGATGAAGCCTATTTTATGAGTGATCTTGAAAAAATATTGGTTATATATGAGGTTTAGAAAGCAAGACATTCACATTTCAAGACAATTTATTGATATAATAAATACAATGCCCACTATCTTCCACTTCACCTTCAACTTCTTTTCTGAACCCATCAACTCCACCACCTGCTTCAGACTTTCAATTTCACTATTGTTATCACTATTTGTTATTACTATTGTTATCACTATTTGTTATTACTTGCTATTACTATTTATTATCACTTTGTTATTACCATTGTTATTACTTTTCTAGTTAGTAATATTGCAAATGCCATCTAAATTGTATACACATATTTTGTAAAAAGGTGCAATCCGTTGGGAAATAAATAAATAAATAACAGTGCACCTGGACCTGTCTGCTGTCACTCACTGACACCATTGACTATATAACACTACAGTGTTATATAGTCAATGCTGACACTACTTGACCTACAGGCAGACCTTACATTTGGATTTGATCACTGAGACTGATCCTCCCTCATTTTTTTCTCACTGGGCGGCAGACAAGTTTAGTTAGTACCGTTGTCCGCCACTTGCCGCGCTCCTCTGTGTCTGGCTGGTTGGCTCCTGGCTGTCTGCTCTGTTTGGATGGAACCTTCAACCTTTGAAGTTTGATTTGAACCTTTGTAAGTTTCTAGGTTATGGAAGGGGCTCTTTCAAGCAACAATAAATAATAAAATAAATAGCCATCTAGCCATAGGCCTACTAAGTTGATTGTTGCTTCAAAAATGTTAAAATGAAATGTTGAGTAAGAGTTACTAATAAAAAATGAGTGAAGTTAAGATTCCATAACGAATATAAAATTTAGTGTCGTCGTCATCCAAGATGAAGTGTGTCGTTCCCAGTCAAAACGTTAAAAGTAAGTTGAGTAATCCATATTTTTAGGTTAGGTCGGTTAAAAGTAAGGTTAGGTTTGTTTATTATAGTATTGATCTAAATCGATAACAGTAACAGGGGTACAGTTTCTTAACTGGGCTATGCTAATATCGATAGAAACTATCGAATTGAAAATATTGATAAATAATCGATATTTTTAAATATATTTATTATCAAATTAAACTATCATAACCTAACTTAACCAACCAAACTTGCTCATGGTGAAAAAATCGCACGAAGGTTTACTAATCGAATCGATAGTTTCAATCGATATTAGCATAGCCCAGTTAAGTAACTGTACCCAACAACAGTTCAACCGCAAATTGCCTGAATCTATTAATAGGCCTAGGCTATAGACTAATCGATCAATACAATTTGACCTAAGGAGTGATTGGAGGGGTACAGTTTCTTAACTGGGCTATGCTAATATTGATTGAAACTATCAAATTTAAAATATTGATAAATAATCGATATTTTAAAATATTTTTATTATAAAATAAAACTATCATAACCTAACCTAACCAACCAAACTTGCTGATGGTGAAAAAATCGCATGAAGGTTTACTAATCGAACCGATAGTTTCAATCAATATTAGCATAGCCCAGTTAAGAAACTGTACCCGATTGGAGCAAGATTGATAACTAGGCCTACAAAGGCCGAGAGCTGTTAATTTTAAAAGCCATATTAACACTCGTTAACACTCGCACTTTACGTTCTACACTCATTCAAATGATAATATCGATTAGGCCTATTCGATTAGTTAGGCTATATCGTTTGATCGAATGAAACAATCGAATAGGCCTAATGAATATTTTCATTCAAATGAGTGTAGGACGTAAAGTAAAGTGCAGCCACACTCGTCACTACCCTAAACTTTTATACGGTAGACTAATTTGTGCGAGGGAGAAGATAGTAATTTAGTGATGGGAACTAAGTTATCCCATCTGATAAAAAATTCATCCGGTTGTGCGCCAACTTAAATTACATTAAATTTCATCCCAATGAACCTATCGTGCGAATCAGCCAAACTATCACTATCCAATATCCATATAGGCTATAGGTATCTGTAAAACCACCTGTTCCATGTTTACATTAAATTTTAAAACTCTGAGTTCTGTATTTTCATTCGTTTGACTAAATTAACTTAATTATTTGATTACCGGTACCGTAGTTAAACTGTTCGTTATGGAATGGTAAAATGAATAGGCCTATATAGGTATTTATATGAAATGAATATGGCGTATTTCCACCAATGAGTTAGATTTTACCTTATTTAATTATCTACACTCAAGTTAGGCCTAAATGTTTAGTTTTGGGGATTAAGGTGTTCTGGTCAGGAACCAGCATCATAGTTGCTGGATGATAGTTTATTGGGTTGCAGATTTGGGTCAGCGATTTTGCTACTTTTTACCAATTTTCAGTGTGAGTCCACCAGAAACTATTTTGAAAAATATAGATTTTTGGTAGACTACGTTAGGCCTAGATAAAATAAAAAAATAGAAAATAGTTTTACTATGGACATGATTCAATTTACAAATAATATCTTTGAATTGAAGGGTTAAACATAGGCCTAATATAAATGAGGTCTTGTTTATTTTGTGTGTGTCAATGCCATTAGCTTTTTAACACTTTCTGTAGGCTATGGGAACAGTCCAAACCCTGGTCTTCTGACTTAAATCAAACTCTTATTACAAATTATCTCTAATTGATAGTCCAATGACAGCTGCCACTATCTAGGTTCAGAATAGACCACGATCTATAGGTTGATGTGACGACCTCGGGGTAGGGAATGAAAATATGATTAGAAAACCATGATGTAATTAGGCTATATCATTGACTATATATACCTAGTCAATGGCTATACCCAGTTTATTAATCAATCTAGATATTTTTAGCTTGCCTTTGGCTAGCTGCAGGCCCCCATTGTAGGGTGGTGGCTTATTAGATTCTACTTATAATATCCATGGCAAATTTCAAGCCTCTAGCACGCTTCATCCACTGCAAGCTGAGCGGTTATAGTGCTTGCATTTGAATCTGAGGGGCGGTGGTTCGATTCCATCCAAATCTTTATCCTCCCTTCATATAACTAAGATTTTAATGACTTCACTCTATCCAACGCAGTTAGCTGAATTGACATAAAACCTCAAGATTAACCGTCGATTTCGACGGGGTTCCACTAGTAATAATGAAGCCATAATTTAAATCATCAAACACGACAATTGATTCTTATTTTAACTATGCAAAAATGTATAGCATCTACCATGCATTAGATACTGGTAATCAATTGATAAAAACCAGATATTATAACTGATTAAAAACCAACAGCAAAACTAGACCTAGTTTTTATAAATAATATTATGACTGTACGAATAATGACATGTGGTAATATTTCAGTTTTGGCGAAGGCGTTTCATTCATTGGGAAAAATTGGAGATGACTTATTTATCGAACCTCACCCAGATCATATTGCATTCAGGACTGTTAACATGGCAGAATCTGCTTATGCCTACTTCATATTTACTAAGTTATTTTTTTCATCGTTTCTATTTGCTGAGGAAGATAATGAAGATGGGCTGAGATGTAAAATTGCAATGAAGGTAAAAATAGACAATAGTATATCAGCGAATGTATTTTTGATGTTATTACTTCCACATTAAAAGTTTACATTACGGTATATCGTTATGATTAAGGTATACATTAGACAAAAAATGCACGACACAAAAGGATTCAGAGATCAGTGCAAATAACCTAATTGAAAAAATATGAAGAAACATATTTTAGCTATTGTATCCGTTTAATGTTCACTTTTCAGGGCTGGCATACTGTTATATTATTTATAGAAAAGAAAAACTATAGTACCCTTATTTAAAAAGTTTTACTGGTAAGGCACATTTTACACTTAGGTCATGGTCAATGTAAGATACAATCATCTACATTAAAAAAAAAAAAAACAGCGACTTGCTCACTCCAAGTTAGTTTGAATGGATTAAAAGAACTTATAACAATAAGAGAAATTCATTTCTTAGTTGGTAAATATAATCAATTTTAGAATTTTCCAAATTAAATAGATTTAAATGATAGAAAAGGACCAAAAATGTCGTATGAATTAAAGGTGTGAAAACATGTCTTTTGCAGTCCTTGCTTGCCATCTTCAAATTTCCTCATGGCGATCGATTGATAGAATGGTGCCAACTGAGATTAGATACTAATGACACCAAAGTGATATTTCAAATGAGATATTCGTATGGATGTACAAAAACTTACTTCCTTCCCATAATGGACAATGAAACTTTGCAGGCAAGTAGTAGTAACACTTGTTATGAAAGTTGACTTCTTATAGAGGGTTGCAACAGCTTCTGATTAGGGCTCAAATAAATTCAAAGTGATTATTATTCTAAAACGACACTTGTTATCAAGGCTGACTTGTTATCGAGGTTCCGTTGTTGTTGAAGTGAGCCACTGACAGATTGAGATAGTGTAGATGGGTTGCCGGAATTTTATCCCCGTGGAATTTTACCCCCTGGGCAAAGCTGACATCACTAATGACATAGTAACCTGAGTGCTCTAAAGTTTGTTCGCTGGTGGAATTTTACCCCCGTGGATTTGGAAGTCTAATGAAAATAGACAGAGAGTGATAAATTAGATTAGCATAAAAACAGGATTTTACCCCCTGCCCAAACAGGCAACTGTAGATGTATGGCCTGGATTTTTATCCCCCAGAAATTTACCCCCCGGAATTTTACCCCCTGGCCAGATATAGAAATTATTGAGAATGATTCATTTTCTTTTAGTTTTCATTAAATAGTAAACATTTTATTATTAAGTAGCCTATCTTAATTGATTTGTAATCTCAACTAAGCAAACAGGTTTTGCTGTTTAATTTTGATATTTGGGGTTTGGGCCAACTCTTGGTTAATATGTATGTATAATAAACTGAGTATCTCAATTAAATGATAATTGGGTGAACATTTCTTAAACGATTTATTATACCACTGTGGAAAAAAATATTTAGTTTCTGTTGTACAATAATAGGGCCTACTATATGCATTTTTGTTTCTTCAGGCACAAACCATGTGCTTTATGGTAAGTACTGAGAAAGTTCATCGAAATACCTTTTGTAAAAAGTAGTTGTAGGTATCCGGTACAAAGTATTCGACCAATTGTTGTGTTGACTACTGCAAGGAAACCCAAATGTTTGTATATATACATATTTTAACTAACAGTTGGCCCCAATAATCGAATCCCGAAACTCAAATTTTAAAATTAAAATTTATAACCTGTTTGATAAGTTAAGGTTACAAATAAATTATGATAAGCTACAATAATAAAATGTTTACTTTTAATTAAAACTGAAAGAAGAAAATTAATCATTCTCACTTATTTCTATATTTGGCCAGAGATAAAATTCCAGGGGTCAAATCCAGGGGGTAAAATTCCGGGGATAAAAATCCGGGCCGTACATTTTGAGCTGACCTCATGAAGGGGGTAAAAGTCGGGGGGTGGAATTCCGGCCCGTACACTCTAGATTTTTATAATTTGATGTGTTCTGATTAAATTCACAACTGTGAAAATATTAAATATACGTTTAATTCCACCATTAATCCTGACGTACGATGATTAATCATTCATAAAGAAAACGCCTCAATAGATTTTTCTTCTTTGTTTGCCAAAAGACAGTTTTCTGATATATACAGGGTGCGGCAAAACAAATTCTGCAGTTTTGAGGATTAATAAATAAAAAACGTGGATACTTAGAAACATAATATTTTAATCTTATAAATAAATCATACAGTAGATATTAATCATACAGTAGCGAACATACCATTTTGAATTTACTTAGTTTTGAAGATGATGTCGTTAAGATGGCGGCCATTGGCTTCAATACACATTTGTAGTAGTTCTCTGAAGTTCCGTGCAGCTCTTGAGCACATTTCACGGGGTACAGTACGGCATTCACTTCTTCGATGATCCGCTGTTTCAGCTCTTGCAGTGTATGAGGCCGACTTTTAAACACCTTTTCCTTTAAGTAGCCCCAAAGAAAATAGTCACATATACTCAAATCAGGTGACCGCGCAGGCCAGCCAACATCACCCCTCAAAGCGACCAGACGTTCAGGAAACATTTCCCTCAACACATCCATGGAAAATCGAGATGTGTGAGCTGTAGCTCCATCCTGTTGGAACCACAAGTCCTCTAATCCATGTTCTTCAACAATGTCATTGATTCTTGGTGACCTTGGGAGAATGTTGCGGTTTCTCGTGCAAAATGTGAGGGTTGTTTTCAGGCCAGTAGCGAAAATTCTGCTTATTGACATGACCACTGAGGTGAAAATGTGCCTCTTCCGTCACTACTGAAAAAAACTGCATCTTGGGATCTGTTGAAGCATTTGCTCACAAAGATTTTGTTGGTTCACATGGTCTACAGGGCGTAGTTCCTTAAAAGGAGTTAAGTTAAAAGTTAATTAAAAGGATGAAACTTTAAATCGTATCGAAGCATTCTTCTTAAGCTACGGCCTGAAATCCCAAGGGCAACTGCATGCCTTCGAGTAGAACTTGTCGGCGACTCCTGAACTGCTGCTCCCACTCGTTGGACATTTTCCGGTGTTCTAACGGACCTACGTCGACCATGATGGCGTGTTCTTAATGTGCTTCCAGTTTCTTCTAACTGCTGAACCCAAGAACGAATTGTTTTTGCGTCCGGAACATTTTTATTCCGTGGAACATTGAATTGTCGTCTGAAGGCCCGTTGCGTAGCAACCACAGAACAACTGTTTCGTAAAACGCACGCACAGCAAAATCGTGATGTGCACCAGTCCAAACCATGTTAGCTACTAAAATGGGGTCAGCGACAGAACAAAGGGAGACCAACTGCACCTGCCTACCCCCACCACTGCCCGAGCGGCGGGAGATTGAAACTGCGGAATTAGGTCTGCCGCACCCTGTATAAATAAACAGTCATATGTTTTTCAATTGTTTTTTTAAAAACATATAATAGTTTTAATTTTAATGTGTTGTGTTTGATGAAAGAAATAAAGAAGATGGTTTTTGTTACCATTTATTTTGTCATTTATAATGTTTAATCTTAAGTAATCGTACGTGATATCAAATTAATTGAATCACATATATTGACGATTTCAATCCATCAAACTGATGTTGCGCAACTCAAAACTTCGCGGCCGGAATTTTACCCCCAGGTTTGTGACATCAGTTTTGCCCATGGGGTAAATTTCCAGGGGGGGTAAAGATCCGCTACACCATGTAGATTACGGCTTCTGTAGAATATGCGAGCTTTTTAACCAAGTCAAACCAATAGAAGAGCTTATTGTAAGCTATAGTATCTTTCATTTCATATTAACTAAGCTTATATCAGTAAAATATAACAATAAGGTAGGAAATAGAATTTTAGAAATTAGTGCAATATATGATTGGCTCACAGAACTATGTTCTTTTTTAATAAAAAATTGGAGAGGTCCACTTCAGTATCCAAACGTCTTTCTGTAATCATACGAAATGCATCTGTGTTATTCTTTGAAATGTGATGATCTTCACAGAGGTAAAGTTTTACACAAAGGTTTTATATTTACAGTTAAGTTATTCTGAATCAAAATTGTTAGCTATTACACAGTGCGAGTATACAAGCTACTAGCTGACTTTTTTCAAACGCAGCTCACAAACTAGCCCAGTGTATTCACCACACTCGCTCAGTTATAGTAGCTTGATTGTAAACTATCCTAGTGTACCCACAGTTATTTGTGCTCAAGCAACAAAGGGTTAGTCTTGTTGATTTTTGAGGAAGTGGCTAGCAGCTTGTAAACACCACTCCATTTAATCAATCAAGCCTATAAGAATAATATGCAGTTAAATTTACACGTGTCTAAAATATTAATCATAATTAATTTAAGTTGTTTAGTAAAATAATTTTACCTACGACTGTCTTTTAAAGTAGCCATTTCAGTTCAGTTCTTAGAATTGAAAAGTTTCACATAACAGATTTATTTACGTATATAACAGCTTAGTTTTACTTAACAACACGGGTAACGGACCAATGAGATTCAAGAATTGAGAGAGAAGAAGTGAAATTGTAATGCTTCGAACTTCAACTAATCAGCTGTTTACAAATTTAATTGTTAACGATTGGTGCAATTAGTGATAGGCAAAATGAGTTCTTGGCAATGTCAGTGGTGGCAATGAGAGGTTATAAACAAAAACATAACCTCTCATAGAAGTTTTGAGTAGTGCTTATTAGTAGGCCTAATTAAAAACTGGTCGTAGGTAAAGTAGTGTACACAACTCACGTAAATAGTGTTAACGACACTCGTAGAAGTTTTTAAATTTTCTACTCGTGTTGTTAAAACTATCTTTACGAGATCGTTGCCTAAACTTGTATTATCATATATGAATACTAGTAATAATAACATTGTTTCTGTTCTGGGTTCGTATGTAATTTCTCAAAACAACAGGTAGTTTATCATCCTTCAATATTTTATTAAAATTATATTTCCCTGTCAAATTGTGCCAAACCAGAAATTTACTTGTTCAAGTTTTTTTTGTCTTAAATATCTTATTAAAATTTCAACGGAAATAAATTTTTTTCCATTTCCTTCAAGGCAAACTATTCCAAAGACGATTGCCACAATCGGTTGTCTACATCTCCTAAACTTCTTTCAACGGCTGTGAAAAACTTTCGCTACAGTGAAAACGAAGTTACTCTATGTTTGATGTCGAGAAAACTAATTATGAGGAATCATCTTGATAACATTTTAGGTAAGACTTTAATACTAAATGTACCATATCTTGAGCTTTAGAAATTTAATTTACTCGTCGATAAAGTGAAATCAAATGAAAGAATGATATTCTATAAGTCAAACTTTGGGATCACAGTTACCATTTTGCCTACCAAAGTAAAGTAGCAATAAGAGCAAATCTTCATGGTAAAGACAGGATATATGCAGAAACTTTTTTCTGTCTTAACTAAGCTAACGTTTTTTCACTACTGAGGCTCACATTTTATTGCTCTTTTGTGGTTAGGATTTTTCTGAATTGTTTTTACTAACACCTATTTAGCACGATGGACCTCAGATGGAGATAAAGACCCAGGACTACAAACATAGAAGAGCTAGCCCAGTCCTTTGAAGTGAACGCACGCCGCCTGATGCTGCCCCCCCTCGCCCCATGCGCCCTTGCCTCTCCCCATTCCACCACTGTGAGGTAGCAGAGTGGGCTTCTACCAGACACTGCTATTGTATTGTAACACGTGCTTTTACGCTTGAAGTTTTCTTCCATTTATAACCTTTTTACATGGAAATAGTGTATTGTTTGGTTATGATATTATTTTACACGTAAAAGTAGTTTCATAGTTTTAAAAAGTTTTTTTACATCATGGTAGGCTGTAGAGTCGTAATTTGTGGGAACCGCTCTTAGAAAACTTAAGATGTAGTGTATCACGTTTTCCAAACAATCAAAGTTTGAGAGATGTGTGGGTACAGAAGTGTTAGAGAGCTGATGTTTTCGATCCCAAAAATGGTAGAGTGTGTAGTAAACATTTTTTTGGAAAGTGATTATTAAGACGATTTAAAAAACAGACTTCTCGGATTACCACAAAGAAAAATACTGAAAGAAGGTGCTGTACCATCTGCTAATATAGAATATAAAAAGGTACGGTAGGTGATTGTTTTAATGAAAGAAAAAAGCAAGAAAATAAACGGTATCAGCATTCTGACACATACTTTCTCCCATAAGTTTGTCAGCAACCTTTATCATGTGTAAGCGGTGAGAGTAAATATACGGAAATGGGATTAGTACAATTTTGTTCAGAATTTAAAGGACTACATAATAAATTTTTATCAAAATCGTTCAGGCCGTTTTTGGGAAAATCCTATTTTTTCCGTTATTTTATGGGGTTTTATGGGAAAATTCACATTAAAAATAAAAATTTTTTTTAATGAAAAACTATCAAAACTTTAAGGACCATAACATACTATGTTAAATCAAAACTGGATTTTTTTTATAAAATCCTATTTTTCGTTGTTTTATGGGGTTTTTATGGGAAAATAACATAATTTACAATAACTTTTGAACCGTAATTTTTACAGAAATGGGATTTGTACCATTTTGTTCAGAATTTAAAGGGCTACAACATACTAAATTTTTATCAAAATTGTTCGGGCCATTTTTGAGAAAATCCAATTTTTCCGGTTTTTTATGGGAAAATCCCCATAAAAAATCAAAATTTCAAAAAAATAAAAAAAAAAACGCCTGGAGATATCATGGATTAGAACCTACATACCAAATTTCATCGAAATCGGACCACATGTGTAGTCCCTAGCTCTGTATACATCCAGACACACAGACACACACACACACAGACATCACTTCGAAAACCACTTTTTTGGGTCCAGGGTGACCCAAAACGAATATATCCACTCAAAACTTAAACTCGAAAATTTTGACGAAAACAAACTTTCTCCATATACTATGGTATAGGGGGAGAAAGTAAAAGAGGAATTAGAAAATCTGCTCTTGAAACATTAAAATCACTTAGCCCAAACAAAAGTAGCCAATAACAAGACAATAACTATTTTTCTTTGATCAAAATTAAATTCATTTAGTGTTGTAAGTCAGTAAGTCATGCGTTATTATAAGGAACGTTTTATTCAAAAATATAGTATTAAAAACTGAGGTGAGTGTAAGTAAGCATCATCACTCTAACTCTAAGTAAGTTCAGCTAAACAGATTAATTAGTTTAGGCTACAAATCCATAGTTGTTCAATTTGAATTACATATCACAGTTTACTGTAAAATGTTAGAGCAGATCGATGTAATAATAGTTTCTTAGTTAATTATTTTTAACTATTCCACTACTTCTATGAATACTATATCACCTATTTGACAGTATTGCCATTATTATTTTCTGTATAAAATATAAAAAATATTATTATATTGTATTGGTAACTGTAAATACAAATGTTATAAAAAACCGATATAGTCATGAACAAAATTCACGACAGAGCGAGCGAAAACACAGTTATGAGATACTGTACTGCTGCACGGGACAGTGCCCGCGGCTACGTCACACCCCGGCGCGATGGGAGGGGTGCTCCGGGCTGGAATCACTTTTTGAGCGCTAGTGGGTTAGCCCTTCTATGTTAGTAGTCCTGATAAAGATCTATATCTTAACATCGTTAATTACACTTTTTTACTTTTCACAGATTCCAAAAAAGCAGTCAGGACGGAAATCAGTCTGTATGCTGACGAATTTGAGTCGTATAGCACCCAGGCTGAGACCTCGATAACTTTCTGTCTTCAGGAGTTAAAGGCGGTTCTCTTCTTTGCTGAGTTCACAGCGTTACCAGTCCAGTTTTACATCAACCAGGCTGGAAAGTGAGTTTGTATGGTGATTAGGCCTTTTATCAGAGGCCTCGCTTCGATCGTAAAACTTGAGCTCGTGGTGAAAAGAGCCACTTTAAGCCCTAGTGGTGAAATATACTATTAGTCGATGGTAAAAACCACTTGTTTATAATAGCCTATACTTGCATAAACATTGTTTTGAATGTTTGTTTTATTTAAAACAGCTGATTCAACTTTTTTTATTATAATTTACATAAAACAAATATAATGTTATACATTTTTTTTTTTATGTTAATAACAACTGCCTCAGTACTTCGGGGATTAAGATTTGGTAGAAGAGAGACAAGTAAAATAATCAGTATTTGATCAGAACTATTTTCTCCTATATCGCGTAATCTTCATTGTAATCTTTGCTCAATACTAGAATCAATGTTTTCTCTTTTGTACTTTATACTGTTATTTGCTAGTTAGTATACTGTGGATGGTTTGTTAAACACATGTTACAAGTCTTTTGTTGTAATTTTTTCTAGTTATTTTGTCCAACCAACATAGTTCCTTGGCAACCCATAAGGCCAATGTTAAATGTTTAAATTTTCAAATGAGTTGTGTAACGAAATACAAATTTTCCTGAGGTGGTGGCTGCTGTCAATCACGTTTTTTGGCCAAAAATAAATTATTTACAACATATGAAGGAAATCGTCGAAACCGTTTTTAATATCTTTGTGCAAGCATACATACTTAAGCAAACATTGCTCATATAAGAATATAGGATTCACTCTAGTTAGTAGATGTAATGTGTAGGGAAATTAAACTTTCAATATTTTTAATCCTATTTTACAGACCGGTGGTGTTTGTGGTGAAAAACGAGTCCCTGTACGAGGCTAACTACGTTGTGTCAACACTGAGTGAGTCTGGGACATCACAACAGCTGTCTCAAATGTCTGACAGTTCTGCCACTACAAGCACACGAGGTCCTGCCAATCCGAAGAAGAGGCCTTTGGAAGAGCGGAACAATGTCTCTCAACCCAAACGAGTTCCATCGCCGCACTGCACGGCTCCTCTATCTGTCGGGAATTTTTCGCAGATATCAGGAGTAGCTGGTATGAGTCACAGTGTTCTCAGTGCAGATCATTCACAGTTATCAGTCTCGGAAAGTAACATTACGCAACCTGTGGTCAGGTCTGTGTTTCCTAGATGTTTTGAAACAACTTTTCATAGACAGTCGTTACCGGGCTACAACAATGTTTTGGTGTATGACTCTGATGGAATTGAAGATTCGGACTGAATAAGTAACCAATCTTAAAAGACTAACTGAATCTTAGTGTAAATTGGAGTTGTCAGGGTTGTTCCTGAAGTATAAAAAACTTTTTTAAAGACAGTGGTTACCAGACTACATTAACGTTTTGGTTTATGATTAAGAGAATGGAGGATTCGGACTGATTTGGTTATTCACACAACCATGTTCTTAGATATAGTAGCAGTCAGACTTTTCCAATCTATTTTGGAAAACGAAATGGAAGGTTCAAGCTTATAGATTTCTTATATTTACTGAGTATATAGTAGCAGTCGACCACATAGGTCAGTTCCACATTCCTATGCGTTTTGAAACAGTTTTCAAAGGTAGGTTACAATATGGTTTCGGTTCATGACTTCAATGGATTGTAAGATTTGGACTAAATGAGTTAATCATATTTACCATGTATGTAGTAGTAGTCAAAATTAGTCAAACATGTTGAACTTTTTACATTTGTGACATTTGTACTTATTGAGTCTTTATAGAAGTGTTGTTGTACAGTATATGTATATTTATTTTTTATATGTTTCTCGTAGCGATAAAAATAAATACACTGGACAATCCAACATTTGAGTATGAAACTTGTCATTCTGAATCTACTGTTGGATCTGACTTGATACACCTAGTACATTATTGCTCCCAATCTTATTTGAACCATCACATCTTAGATCTTCCTTTATGGTGTGAAAACTTTGGTAATTTTGATTTAAAATCTAGAAACACTATACGTGTAATTAAAATCTAAATTTTTCCTGACGAAGATAGTTTGCAAATGTTTTAAAAAATGTCATAAAAACATTTACCACTAGATATGTTAAAAATATTTTTTTTTCTTTTACCAAAATAAATTTTAAAAAATCAGGGTCCATTATTTTAAGATTATTTCCAATTTATCGCTTGAATTATTTCTACCTTTGTATTTGATTTAGTTTAGCTATATTCCATATTATGTTCAACCAGATCAAAGTTAGAATCAGTAATTCAGATTCTTGTTGACAAAGACCAACATTTAGTGTGGTTATGATGTTTATTCTATTAGCCAAGAAATGTTCAATGAATATTTTTAACTAAAGATTGGTAAATAAAATTGAAACTTTTTGACATATTACATTTTTACTCCACACTATTATTTTTTACCAAGATTTCAAAATACTTAACACTAATTGTTTCCCACCCTATCCTTGTGACTAAAACAGGAGAACTTTATTTTTATTATTTAAAATCAAAGGGATGGGCAGATTCTAAACCGCAATTCAATATTTGTCAAATATTTATACAACAAACATTGTAAAATAAATAATGTTTGATTCTATATCATGAGAATGAGAATACTTTTGATTTATTCCACACATTTTTGGTCCAGGTAACCTTATGTCATCCAATGTAACTTTTATAAAAGTTCCTATAGAATTTAATTCTTAGGCCTATATGTCGCCAAACAATACTCTATATATACCTACCTTTTAACCTACCTTATTTTTACTTACTGATTTTTTAATGGATAGGTCTAACAGGCTTGCATTACTGACAAAAATGTATGAAAATGCACAAATAAACACATAATAGAAGTAGAGCCAACCATTGAAGAGGGAGCTAGTAGCGCAGAACATTCTATATTTATTTATGCATTTTTATCTATTTTCCTCAGTAAAGCTGTGTTTACACGAGGCCGGTTGGCGAGTAGTTTATTCGCCTCAGGTAACTTGAAATACATTAGAACAAGTAACTTGAAATACATTAGAGGCAAGTAACCTGCCTACTCTGCTGGCCTCGTGTAAACGCGGCTTAAAGCTGTGTTTACATTAGGCAAGTAGGCAGGCCTCAGTAGTGTATTTCAAGTTACATGAGACAACCTGCAACTGGCCTCTAGGAAACACAGCAGCGCGCACAGAGGCAGAGGGACTCATGAGAACATACTCCTGCAGGCGGACATAGCTGCAGGAGTCCGCAAGCAGACGGACTATCCCTTCCCTCTTCCACCACGTGCTTTCACTAATGGGTGCTGTGAAATGGCGTGTAATAAGGTAATGTGGTGCAGCCGTAATTTTCATAAATGCATTCCGTGGTTAGGGGAGGACGACAGTTCCAGTAATGATGATTTAGACCTCAGACCTTTAGGAAATTTTGGGTGCATCTCATAAAAAATTGAATAGTGAATATCTTATCACCTTATTGATTTACAAAAAGATGAGGAAAATTTACAGGATATTTTTTTATGAAACGAAGAGTTTTACTAAGTGTTTAATTACTTTGACTAACACATAGCAAAAACACTAACATCTAGGTGTAAACAAACCACAGTGCACCTATTGTCAGTGCCCAGAAGCAATGTTGAAAACACCTCTGTGCGCATGCCCAGCAGAAAAAGTTTGGAGAAGGATTCTTAAAAATCACCCAAGATACTAGGAGGTCACAAAATTCAATTATCAATTATCAATTATTTAAGATGGGGACGCCACTATGTGCGTATTTTAACCCAAATATGAGTGAAGGATGAGTGGCGCGATCTTGTAGTCTTGTTAGTGACTAAGGCCGACATGTTCCTTAGACACAGCTGTTAATTAATAGCCCATACAGCTAATGGCAACTAAGGGACCTACAGTTTATAGTGGAATACTATACCCAAGATACTAGGAGGTCACAAAATGTGGATATAATATAGAGGCATGCTCATGCACTGTGGATGCAATACTCCCTGGTGTGGATTAACACCCGCACTAGTGAGTACTACGACTATCTACAGTTCTGTCCTGATATTTACTATTTAGACCAATTTAACAAGGCAAAAACGTGGTTCGGATTCCACTATAAACTCTTGGTCCCTTAGTTGCCATTGGCCGTATGGGCTATTAATCAACAGGTGTGTCTAAGGAATATGTCGGCCTAAGTCACTAACAAGACTACAAGACTCAACCTACACTCATCTCCATTCATACTTGGCTTAAAATACCTACATTTGTATGGTCGCCATTTCAAGGTAAAGTATTAAAGAGGCAATTCCAAAAAGATCCGTCCGTGAACTTAAGCAGACTCAGGCAGATGGAAGGATTTCTGTGTGCTGCCACATTTGACAGCATGGGGAGCGTAGTCCGTCTGTGTGCGCCAGTCTTAAGCCTACTTTTTAGACCTCTATTACAAAATCCTTAAAACCCTGGCCTAAAGATATCTACAAAAAATATTACTTTTTCTTAGGTTATTCAATGAGAAACATAAATAATATAAAAGAAAATATATTTGTTTTCATTACTACCTCACTTGGACTAGGAAAAGTAACTTCTTAAGTCATAGAACATATTTTTTTGGTAACAAAGATTAAACATGTCATAAAAAATGACTAAACATTGCACATGATAATTGCATCCACACATCTAATATTCAGCAAAATAAAGACATACAATATAATAATGCTGTAATACACCTGTGTATCTTAGTTGCTAATAATACAGTAAATTGCAAAATTGTTTTGAAGTATTCAATGATTTAATGCAATTTATTCAAGAGATATTACTTAATTCAAATTAACTTCACTTTAACATAATAAACACAACCATTGGTTTACAAATAATGTAAACTCATCCTTCACTCATATTTGGGTTAAACCCCATCTAAAATAAATAATAATTGATAATTGATTGAAATAAACAAAACATAAAACATTGTATATTTTGTTAATATAAATGCAATCAAACCAATTTTTAGTTTTATCTTTTATCTCAACATAAATATTTAAAATGTAATGAACACTATACTAGGCCTACTACCATGGTGTTTTTTTTTTTCTCCGGACACCTGATCTGTTCACTGGTAACATAATAGGTGTCACGTAAAACGTAAATGAATCCCAATAAAAAGCTAATATATCATCTTTGATGTAAATTATAGACTACTCAACCATTTAATACAAGTTAAATGATAAACATTGAAACAATACAAAAAGCTATAATAGCAAGAAAATTGTTTGAATTTTTCCATTTGACTGAAGTAATATTGCAAGATTTGATGAATTTAAAAGTTTATTGTTTTTAACTATCCGTTGATTATTCTGTTTAATATATAATTAGATTGATAACCGTAACTTCAAATGCATATTTAAATAATTGTCAGGTTTGCTGTTTTGGCCCATTTGAACAATGCCAAACATAACAAATGAATAACACAATAAATAGCCTATTCCGGAACACAGTAATTATATAGAAAATAGAAACTAAATATTGTTCACAGTGCTTCATATTATAGTTTGATCTGGTTATTCTAAATTCATCTTACAAACTAAGATTCAATCCGATTTTTGGTTATTTTGTATTGAAAATTATTCCTAATATCATTTATTTTTCTAACCTTCACCATAAACATAAACCTAACTAAAGCATTTACAAAATAGTACAAATAATTTTTACACTAATTTGTCACAAGAAGTACAAAAACTACACAAAATTAAGTACTTAAAAGTTATAGTTTTGTTCTTACCACTCAGTGGATTTTCCATAGATAATGAACAATTAAATGTTACACTTAACACAAAAACTATTTGATTGTATATTAAAAACTACACATTTGGTTTCCAACTTCAACTATTTGAAAATGTGGAGTGTTCAAAATACCTAAATGGAAGAGTTTGCAAAAATATAACAACTAACACCAGACCTTAAAGTAGCCTAAACTTAACCTAATTGAAGTTGTCCCTGCCTCTAATACTGTTGTTGTAGTTGTGGGGTAACTCTGTTTTTCCGAGTGATTCGAGTGTGGATGATTGTGCGTCGAGTGTCGTTGGGATGCATGAAGGCATCAGTTTCGCTCCATTCTCGCCGCTTCTCTTCCTACGACAAAAATGAATTTGAGGTTTACAAGGTGACATATGTCTATAAAGTCATATGGTTATTAATTATTATTATATTGTTTTTTAAAACAAACTCAATTGTAAACAAACTAACTTGTAGTTCATTAAATGGAATTCTTTATATAAAGATTTAGTTTTATTTTAAAACAAGAAACATGGTGCCGAAAGGAAGGACCAGTAATAAGAATAAAGAAAGACAATGTTCTCCATTCAGAGAGGTTAATACAGACAACATTGATTATGATAATGATGAGATGAATAATCAAGACTTACCAATGAACATAAAACCACCAAAGCCACTGTTTGTTACCAGTGGTAGTGAAATGACAAAGAAGTGGAATTTATGGTGGAAACAATTTCAGTGGTATACTACTGCTGTCAATTTGAAGAACATTAGAGGAACAGATAGCTACTTTTATGACAGTACTTGGAGAAGATGGAATTGAACTCTTTGAGTACTAGCTTGGATGATATAATTGCAAAATTTGATTCGTATTTTGAAAAGAAATCAAATGTAATATACTATGAACGGTTTGTCTTCAACAATTTAATGAGGGTAAAGGAGAAACTTTTAATGGTTTTTTAACAAAAGTGTCTAACCAAGCAAATAAATGCTCGTACGGAACAATGAAGGATAGCTTATCACGAGACAGGCTGGTTTGCGGAATCAATCATGACAACACTCGCCAAAAACTATTTTATGAAGAAAATCTGACACTTGAAAAGACAATAAACATCTGTAAGACTTCTGAAGAAGTAGAATTTCAGCTATCTACAATGTCTGAAAAGAAATGCTGCAACGTTTATGCAGTTAAAGGAAAAGAAACTTTAGGTGAGAAGCAAGAGGAAAAAACATTAAGCAAAAAACAAGAGGATAATACCTTCAATTGCAGTCGCTGCGGATATCGCCATGGCCCTCAAGCTTGTCCTGCATACCAAAAGAAGTGCTATAACTGTGGTATCCTTGGCCACTTCTCTAAGGTATGCCGCTCAAAACCAAATATTCGAGTGAAATCATTAAAAACTGAGGACTCCGATGAACACGGTGAAGAATATTCTATTCAACACTCAGACCAGGCAACATCTCACAGAAAAATAAGCTGAACTTTCCAAACTTAAGCACATCATTCTAAGTGGTTGGCCTGAAGAAAAATCTGAATTGCCAGAAGAGCTACACAAGTATTGGAATTATCAGGATGAACTAGCTGTTCATGAAAATATAATTTTTAAAGGGGAAAAAATATTGCTTTCCATGCATCTTCGTCCACTTACACTAAAACAGATCCACCTAGAACACAGAGGAATACAAAGAACTCCATCTGTACCAGACTCACTAAATTCTGTACAAATTCTGTAAATTCTGTAAATTCTGTACAAGACTAACTCAATTTTGCTTGAGAATACGTGTTCTAGCCTAACATGACGAACGAAATCAAAAATTATGTTTTGAACTGCAAAATATGCTCAAAGCTCCAAAAAGATAATAATGAGGAAAAATTATTACAGCAAGAAGTACCAACTAGACCGTGGATGGAAATAGGAACTAACATTTGTCACCTATCCGGTAAAGATTATCTTGTTGTTGCGGATTCCTACTCTGGTTTTTATGACATTGTTGAGTTAAAATCTCCAACATCTTCAAATGTTATTACTGAACACAAAAAGTGGTTTTCAGTACAAGGAATTCCTGAAACTTTATTATCAGATGGAGGTACTCAGTTCAATTCATTCAACAATTTTGAAAAAGATTGGCAATTCAATAAAAGGGTTTCAAGCCCTTTGTTTGCAAGATCAAATGGATTAGCCGAATGGTATGTTCAAGAGGCAAAACTTATTCTAAAGAAATGTCTAGAAGAAAAGACGGATGTTTATCTCGCCCTACTTCATCAAAGAAATATACCCCGGAAAGATATTTGATCTCCAGCTCAAAGATTAATGGGGCGCAGAATAAGGACTCTACTCCCCAGCACAGATAAAATTCTGCAACCTAAAATAATTCAAAATGTTCACAATGAATTGCAAAATATTCACGAAAAATCCAGACAATACAGTAACAGAACAAAAAAAGAACAACTTAGAATTTGAAGAAGGAGAAAAAGTACTGTATAGAAAAAAAACACAGAGACTGGCAACCAGCTACAGTCGTAAGAAAAGGTCCGGAGCCAAGATCATACCTTATAGAAACTCCAGATGGGAATATTTATCGAAGGAACTCTTGGTTTTTGAAGAAACGATTTTATGATGTTGAAGAACTGGCAGGAGCAAGTAAAGTGAACGGAAGTAAAGCTGGAAATGGAGTCAAAGACGTAGATAGTAGAAAGTCATCACAAAGAGTAAATCCTCCCATAAGACTTGACTTATAAGTGAAGAAGGGAGATGAAATATGACTATAAACATAAAGTCATATGGTTATTAATTATTATTATATTGTTTTTGAAAACAAACTCAATTGTAAATAAACTAACTTGTAGTTCATTAAATGGAATTCTTTATATAAAGACTAGCAGAGTACCCGTCCTTCGTACGGGGTTGGCATATAAGTATCAAATGCTTATAGCAGTTATGAGTGAGGACATGGTTTAAGAAATTTCGGTTCTTTTTGAAGTTTGTTCGCTACGCTCACTCACCTTTAGGTTGGAGCTCGTTCGCTGCGCTCACTTTCCTTCAGGTTAGCTCGTTCGCTACGCTCACTTGCCTTCAGGTTAGCTCGTTCGCTACGCTCACTCGCCTCCAGGTTGAAGTTTGTTCGCTACGCTCACTCACCTTTTGCTGTTGTCATAAATGTAAAAGAAATAATAGTGCTAGTGCTGCACCCTGTTGGTAATCCTTGTAACTTTTAATGCTATTGAACATCATAGAACAGAACCAACTTGTTTAATTGAAACAGCTGTTAAGATTCATTAATTCCATTTCTCATAAGGTTAACATGGGAAACTCCAGAGCCACTGGGGCGGAGCCCCGAAGGATTTTTGGGATAAAAATATGCCTATATGTTAATCGGGAATGTGAGCTATCATCATGCCAAATTTCAGCCCGATCCGACCAGTAGTTTTTGAGATTAGCTCATACAAACACACACACAGACACCACCTCTTCTTTATAATAGTATAGATAGATAGATATAGATTTAGTTTTATTTTAAAACAAGAAACACAAGGTAAAAAGAAATGCACAAGCACTTCTTAAGTGTTTAGTTTTTCAAAGAAAACTGAAGTACAGTGGCCTAGGCATGGACGAAATATTTTACGAGACATAACACTGATATTTCATCCTAGTTTAGGACTTTAGATGGTAGATTGATGTTAAATTTCAGTTAATATTCTACATTTTCAGTTTGAGGTTAAGGATGTGAAATGGAGCACAAGGTATTTTTGTATATTAGTAGGCTTACATGAATAGGAAAGAGTCCAAATTGGCTCTAGAAACAAAAAAAAACTTTTCACTATAGACAAAACATTTAAATAATTTACTGTTACTGGTAGCACTTTCAAACTCGTTAGTTGACCTAGGGTTCACATCTTGATTTGAAAATTCTAAAAACTAACATACAGTTTTAAGTTAAGGATGTAACAAAGAGCACAAGGGCATAGAAAAGGATTTATTTAGGATAGCAAGCATTCATGAGTGAAAAATGAATGTTTGAGATGTAGTGAGAAATATATGTTTTCAGGTCCAATGGTGCATAAGTGAATTTCGGTCAGCATAAGCTGGCCACCATTGGTTCTGAAGACATAACTTCCCAACCTTCTTTGAAAATGCTGTCGGCGACATTGAAATAAACCAACTTTAGTGTGTAAATTTGTTTGTGTTTCTTTCTCCCACAAGTGGACTTTTCTCCATTACAGTAAGCCTGCTATCCCAACAAAAATCTTTTTAACGCACAATTCAGGGTATCGGAACTACTGTACTGAAACATGGTCTACCTTGTGGAGACGTCTGCGGTCAAAGTAGCTGACCAAACAGCTGGCTGGTATCCAGACAAGTGCAGTCACTAGAATAACGGTTCCCACGATGTTGTCTCTGAGGAACAGCAGCACTTTGTTGATGTTGATGTCCTCGATGATGTCCCAGAATCTTTCCACCACGTCTTGTATTGTCTTCTCACAAACACCCTGAGGAAACAAGTCAAAACCACTAGGTTAGGTTAAAATGGATTACAACATAGAATTTTTTGCTGTTTCGAGTCGGTTCTATGCTGTTTAGGTATAAATAATATTTTGCAACAAGAATCAATGTATGAGAAGGCTTGAGATGAGCATTCCAAATCAAAGAGACGAGCATCCGAGGGTCCCAAGACAAATCGGGAGCTTGCATAACTTTGCCCGTGGAGCCAATACCATTGTTTGACACGATAGTAAAATCCAATTTAATACTATTGGCATTGCAATCTAAAGTCACATTGACAACATGTGTTTCAAACAAAAGTTTGCAACAATCCCAAGAGCGCAAGTTTTGTCAAAATGTTTTTTAGAGTTTACGACAGAAATTATGTTTTTCACAAGAAGTGGTAAACGTTTACAGCACTTTTTAAATAATGTTTACAACAAAATGTTTATGACACCTGTGTTTGGTTGGCAACACCTGATTTCAACGGATGGTTTTTCTTTTCATGCTAAACAAATTATCAGATTATTTTCTGGGCCGCAAGCAGGATTGTCAGTAATGAACCAGAAAATGTTACTTTGGATCTAAATGGTTCAATCGATCTTCAAAAACATTATACAAATTGCATAATTAAGATTAAGGTGTTGAATAATTAAGAGATATTTGACAACCTGACAATCTTTTGACCAAAGGAACCTATTATTAAACTTGTAGAGGATAATTGGCTGTGTGTTCATACCTTATTACAAAACCCTTGTATGCAGGGTGTTCCATCAGGTAGAATGTCCAATGGGTCGACTGGGAAACAGGTGTCGTTCATGTTCATTCTGCAGCATCTCTTACAAGCATCACTAACTGTAACATAAGTAGATTGTTGACAGGATTGTCTTTGTGATTGGCCTTTTCAGCTACAACAGTTCATTCTAATGATTTTGATCAAACCAAACCCATAAGTATACATTTCTTAATCAGAATAGTAAAACTTCATTAAACTCCACTTATTAAATGAAAACTGCTTAAATACTCTTAGCAAACACCATTAAGCTCACGATTTATGAACATGCTTTCGCAGTCATATTTTAGAGGCGATAAAGATCAATGGTCTTAAGGACGCAAGAGATAAAGGTCTGCAGTGCAAACACTGTAGTCAAATTTAGTTCTTAGCGGACTATGAAGCTGAGCTGAGCCTAGTTTAAAAGCTCAAATAATAAAGCACCGAGTCAGAAAATAAACTGGGCCGAGTTTATATTCTTGAGATATTATCAATCGCAAAAAGGTTCTGCAACAATTGCACGATAACAAATTTCCAATGCCAGACACCATGATGATGTCTATAGATGTGACCCTGGAAGATGTTCACAATGTGTACGGGGACCAAGGAAGATAATTAACAAAGAAGAATTGGTGCCGTCACTCAAAGGTCTGAGAGTCCCCAGTACAATTACAACGCATGATACTCACTGATGTCACACATACAGCTCTGCATGCCCTGAGTCTCACAGTAAGGTACACACTTGCCCCCGCGGCACTGGCCCCTCTCTAGACACCCGGTGCCGTCACTCATAGGCGGGGACCGAGGGCACTCAGCTGACAGTCCTGAGCAGCGAGACTCCTGCTCACACGTTGCGTACTGAGCCTCGCGACATGTGAAGCCTGCAGACATGTATTTGCAGTTCTGACAGCAGGGTGAGTTCTTGTCACTGTAATACAAAATGAGCGAATGGGAATAATTTAAATAACAAATTAGGATTCATATTAGCCAGACAGTAGGTTAGGTAGGAAAATACAACTACATCCACGTGTTGTTTACTTATATCAATCAATTGTCAAAGGTGTAAGTATAATATTTTAATCAGGAGATTTTCGTCCTTGAAAAGAATGTCTGTGAGCTTTGACGTGTGTTTAAAACTGACCAAGCTGGCACTAATTGGCAGCTAAAGCATTAAGGTTTTGTATTAAATTTATAATATTACCTGCAGACAGCTCCAGAGTTGCGCCGTAGTTTGCAGACCTTGTCACAGCACGCGTCGTTATCTTCAGTTCCTGTACAAAAGTGATGGTCACCAAAGTGGAAGTAATAGTATGTTAAAATTCAAAGTTGGTTAGTAATTTAAAAAAATATAAAATGTAACCTCTAGTGATTAATTATCAATGGAGGGATTAAACCTAACCACTGTAATACTTACCTAACAATCCAGCATCGCATTCTTCGTCACCTTCCACTCGAAGGTTGCCGCAGAAAGATTCTTCAGGTTCGGAGAAGCAACGGCCGGACTTGGCTTGCAAGACTTTGCGGATGGATCTCAGACTGCATGGTGAAAATCTCTAAAGAAAAAAAACAGAAACTTTATCACCTAGTTTAAATTGAGTTATTTATTTCAATCTATATTATTACAAAAAAGAGGCATCTTTTATATTCATGATTTTGAGATGATAGAAATTAAGAAAAACTCTAAAACTAACCAACATTTTGTCTTCGATGTAGTGTGATCTTCAGGGTGACTTCATTATTCACACACTTGCCAATATTTCAAGCACTAGAGTTGGCCGCCCTAGTTTGAACATAAACGACTGTTGAGCATACCAGCAGTACGCTTGAAGCAAACCCAAGCCCACAATGTTAAAATATTGCATACTTCTACTGATTGGGCGCACCAAAAATTCAACTTTAGCCCAGCTCCTGAATATCTACTCTCTCTCTCCTAAGGATCAATAACCTGACATCAAGCGAAGGATGAGTCGCATGGTCGCTTTGCCCGTTGCAACTGGTTACTGATAACGAGACCTTTTTCTAGTCATTGTTGCTGGTTCAGTGTGTCCGCTTGTCGGTAGTCCTTTCCTCAATTTTTTTTTTTATTTTTAGGAAAAGTAAGAAATTTTTGTCTTAAAGAAAAGGATGTATTTTGTACTGTGCCACATTAAATTAGCTTGATGCATCGACCATTGAAAATTTACTCATTTCATTTTGTTAAATGTCCTAAATATTTCACTCAAACTTTCAGAAATATCTGTTTTCTAAGCTGTCCTCTTAGCTGTTTCCTTACTTGTCCTCTTAGTTATTCCCTTAGCTGTACTCTTAGCCGTCCCTTTAGTTGTTCTCCTACTCTTGGTATCCCCCTTGTTATTACCCTACAGGGACACCTTCCGACACACAAATCAAACATTTCTAAAGGTTTAAAATTAATCATTACCATATAAGTTACTACAAGTATTTGGGATATTATAAGGCTCCTCCTTTGCTGACATCCGTTCCCGACCTCGGACCTATCTCCAGTGCCGACCTCTGTTGCCGACCTCGGACCTACGCTACCAAGTACCGCCCTTCTCTCTATTGCTCTCGCCTCCCTCAGAGCCATACCTCAGCTTACACTTCGGCTCATACCTCGGAGCCTACTTCACAGCATACCTCTGAAAGCATAGGCATACCTAGGAAGGATCAAACCTAGGAGTATACCTTGGAGCCTACCTGATGGCCGACCAGCACCAAGTCGACACAGCTGTTCCGATAAGTCATACTTTAGCTATCTTAATTACACCACAACTAATGATATCTATTCTGAGAATTTAACTTATTATCGTCTGGATTTAAGACTGGTACATGTAATGGTTCAAAATACCAGTAATGATAAAAAAAACCAGTAATGATTAGTGACAAATCGCTATATAAATGTATTTTGGGATCTATTTGCACATTGTGCATGCCTGACAAAATTTAGCGACAAGTCAACAATCAGAATTGTCTGTTGTGGAAGCTACCCGACTATATCGTCATAATTGAGGATCTAACTCGCCTAAGGTTGTATGTCTCCAAGCTTCATGTTGAACTATAGGTAGAAGTACATTGATAGTAGTTAACTTTGTAGATCACTGTTGTGTATATTTTTGTATCTATTTATATTGTCTTATCTTGTTTTTCAGTGATGGCCCCCCATGGTAAAATATTTGGGTATTATCAATTTTAAGTTTGTTATCGATTGAAAGTTTAAGCTCATTAAACTAGCATGTTCTTTATCTGTAAACATTTGATTATTTTGATTTGAGTATTCCCTAAAAAAAACACACAAATGAAGGGTAGCTGTATCCATATATAAATCCCAAAGTACCCATGAATTTTTGAGAAAACTACAAGTCACACTCCCATCAACCATCCTTATATATAATACGTGAAGGCGATTTCTACAAAACACTACTCCTCCGTTAATAATGGACGGATTTTTACAAACGACGTGTCAAAATAAAGTATTTTTTGTGTAGCCGCCCCCTTTAACCAATTCCTGTAATAAAAATCCTCGGGCTTTGCCCCACAGGCCATCAAAGTTGGAGTTTCTCCCATAAGATTAACATGGGGGAATCTAAATATTTAATTGGAAACTTTGTCCCCACTAATTTGAGAGAACGGCTGGGCGTAGAAACTTGGTAGAGGTGTCCAAAGAAACGTCTTGGTCTCTAGATGAGTTATCAAAAGAAAAACTAAGCAAAATCCCTTACGAATCTGCCCGAGAAGCCTTTAAAGATTCCTCCACAGAGTTGTTTACATTTTGGCCTTGTGAATAATACTTTTTAATGAAACAGCTGTCCATTTTAAACATGTATTTCAAACAACATGTCATATTTATTGGGAGTTGTTACTGAATTCTACCAAATAAGTATTTGCAATTTTATTTTCTGATTTTATAATTGATTTTGTTCTTTATCATGTCATGTTTTGCAATATAACGTTCCATTACGAAATCAGTGGAAAATCCTTTCATCACAGCAATTCTTAAATTATTTCTTATTAAACTATCTTATATCTATTGTACGGGTTGGTGTCTGCCTTTTTCATCACTTTTGCCTACATTTTATCATATTATTCTATACATATCACATATTTATGTAGAAATATCTGCTCTTATCGTGTCTAATAAAATCCAAACATAGAAACCTTGCCTAAAATGATACCCATCTTGACAAATTATTTGCACCTGCCTATATTACGGACTTTGGCGCACTGGGTTGGTAACATTATTGAAAATAACACGACATTATGGCTGTAAAATATGGCACAAAGAGAAAATACTATTTAAGCAGCTACTGTCATGACAGAACAATCATATTCCTTTTAAATTAGATCACATAATTCTTTATAAGATACTTTGATTAACAATGCATGTAAATGTCAATATTTACGTAACAGCCATTTACAGTATTGTTGCTTTTTGGAAATGTCCCATTGCTATGTCATTTGCATTATTTGTTGCCAACGAAGCCGCCAAGATCATATGAACTAGGAGGCCCCTAACAGTTCAAGAATAAAAGCCAACTTCACTTCAAGTATTCCACTATACCTAACATTCCGTAGAGAGATTATATTGACAACTTTATGTTATTGATAAGTCTGAGACAACTAACTGACATTCACCATGTCAAGGAATTCCAGCTTTAACAGTAACCCCACAATCAATTTCTCAAAACTGTGCTAGAGGGTTCATTAATTGGCACAGAAGTACGATATGAACTAACGCGAGCAAAGTGACGAAGGAAAAATCAAACTTACACTGTAACGGATATACCTCCCATTGAATTTAGATTATGTCTTCCCAAAAAATATTTTCTTTTCAAATAAAATTATATTACACTGATGAAATCACGGAAGTGTTTGACTACAAAAGAGCCACCGATACGATTTTAACCCTTCCAGGGCTAAATTAAATGAAGGGCTGGAGCTTAATTATTTTTTGCCAAAAATTAAAAACTAAAGTGGTTGTGTTTTGTATTTATTTCACTTGAAATAATTCATGGATCGTAAAAAGATTTTCCTTAGGGCTGAACTAATTTTTGTACAAAAGTTATGAATAAAATAAAATTTGATTTGACGGATATATCCGTCTTTGGCCCACAAAAAACATAAGGTGGACGGATATATCCGTCTGCCGCCCTCAGTGATAATCACAAAATATGAACACTGCCAATAATCTTGAGTATCTTGTGGGCGGCAGACGGATATATCCGTCAACCTTAGGCTATTCCTTCTCTTGTTTTATTTTTTATCCATAAAAATGTATCTATCATTCTGAAGTAAATCTAAACCACTCAGTTCCACTCCCATGTCCTCAATCCCATTCCCCGCCAAGACTTCCACTACGTAAAAACTGTTCTTCAGGCTCATCATATCCATCACATTCCATACTATTATTTTTCACTTCCAAGTATAAAACCCCTCTCAGACATACTTTGATTAAGCATCTCAATTACATCTTCAAATTTCAGATTGTTTGCATTAGTATCTTTAGCTCAATAACATAAAAATAAAGTACAAAACACAAAATGTAAACATCACTCACTAACAACCATGTGTGAAGTGACAGCAATATTTATTTACGTACACTCTATGGTGCAAAATAGCCGAAACAGCTGCGGCAATTATTATTGCCAACCACAAAAACAAAATAACCCATTTATAATGGAGTATAATGTTAATTACCGTATTATAAACATTGTGTATCAATTCGTTTTTTGGACGGATATATCCGTCTTTATCCCAGAAAAGAAATTTCTCAGGACGGATATATCCGTTTTCAGCCCGGAAAGTAAACAAAGATTGACGGATATATCCGTCCATAGCCCTGGAAGGGTTAATACTATTTAAAGGTTCTTCCAAAGGAAGAGATACCACATAACATACTAATAATAACTCCGATGACGTACAGTATAGGAAATATTTTAATCATTGAATGATCAACCAAATTTGGCAACTAACGCAATTAACATCATTGGTGTTTTTACACTTATCACTCTTTAAACAATGCTAAATGCTCAAAATATGTATATTTCACCCAATTTATAAAGAATTTAGTCAGCTGTTTCAACTAAAAAAGTTGGTTCTATGATATGGAAAAGCATTAAAAAGTTATAAGATTTACCAACAGGGTGCAGCACTATATTTTTTTTGCATTTATGAAGCAGCTAATTTGAACTAAGCAGCAACAAAAAACTGTGATTCGCAATGAGAACTGTCAAAGTAGGATTGTTTACAGTTATGTATATGTTTTTCATTTAATGAATAATTTGTGATATTTTGCGAATTGATAATTTATTTTTCTCTATTGTTTAGATAAAATGGTAGAACATTATGGCTATGGTAGATGTGTAATACTATAGAATACTGTAAATTTAAAAAAGCAAATTTTATCAAACTGTGTCCTCCACCCATTGCAATCGCAAAGCTTGAGTATAACTGCAATAAGCATTTTATACTTATATTCCAACCCCGTACGAAGGACGGGTACTCTGCTAGTTATTTCATAAATTGCCCTTTAAGGTCGTAATTCCTTTCTAAAGGGAACTTTCCAGATACATCAGCTGTACTTATTTGTATGTTATTCTTTCAATTTATAACTCATTAAAATCAGGTGTGATTATTTGTTTGTATTAACTGTATTCTGTTTTGTTTATTTCAGCTTAACTTAACTTATAAAGTCAAACGGGATGAAGCCCGTGGGTAACAGAGAGTTTATATTAATTCCAAATGTGATTCAGTTTAAAAACTAACTTCTTCATACTAGTGTAAATCCAGTACTAGACTCTAGAGCATAAAGTAAAAGCTGTGACATTTTTTGTCTCGCAAACCCTTAAGTGCAGCCTTTGAAACTACATTTTAAACAGCGAAAAACCACATCTTAGAGTGTTTATTTGCAGTTTTTACTAACTATTTTGCTGTTTTTATGTTTACACCTTATTTCTAAGAGTAGATTCATCAGAGTAATTCATTAGTTTTGAATAAAAATTACATTTTCTTAGGCCTAGCACAAAACTGTACAATGTGTCTAACGGCTAAGTCAATTAATTGGTAGAGGAAACCCCAGGATGTCAAATATAGGGCAATAAACTATAAAATATAACATTAACTAAGTTATTATGACATAAAGTCTTATACAATGGCTCGGCTTTAAAAAATGGCAATACTGTAAGTTAATGTTACTATTATTAAATACAGACTTTTTTATTTTTGGTATTTTTTTTATGTGTTGGTAATTCAAGTTTACTTAGGTCTACGGGTTTCAATGTCCTGAGATTACAAGGTCGTGCAAAACATGTCGTGCAAATAGCACCAGTACATGAGCATGAAGAATTTTAATTGTATAATTTGTTTTATTACATATTTTAGACGGAATTCCAATCAAATCCATTTATGACCATCAACATTAAATACATGTATAGCAACGCCATACAGTTATAATATGTTATAATATCATGAATATTGGAGATATTATGTAGACCTGTGTTTATTTTTTTCACTTCTCAAACAAATTAAGCACCATGAGCAATGTTCGATCCCCTGGTACTACTTCAGTAGACTCCCTCTAATCCGGACATCTTTTAACCGGTCATCGGTTTAACCGGACTACACTCGGCGAAAATGACATCTCTTTATCCGGACAATTTTTATCATTACATCGGTTAAACCAGACTAGATCGGCAGGAAGTGGGTGGTACTAAAACGACTGTTCTCGTGGGAAAGATTTGAGACCAGTGATCACGTGTCTAAATACAATGCTCTCCTAAATTTAAGGCAAATACTGTATACAGTATGTATTTAATTGGTCCGTTTTAATGAGTTTTAGGGGACGTCGGTTTAACCGGAAAAAAACGTTATCCTGGTATTTTATGGCCTAGGTGTTCTTCTAAGGTAAGCTAGCTACTGTCTTCCTTTATTCTACAGTTCAAAATCTTGGTCTATAGTCATTTCTTGAACAAAACTAACCCCGGTTAGGTTCAACTAAGATCAGGTCAAACAACTTGACTAGGACATTTAAAAAAATACAGTGGAACCTCGATAACAAGACCCTCGATAATAAGTCACCCTTGATAACAAGTGTCATTTTAAAATCCCCTAGAATTTATTTTACGTTTTATGTTATTGGAAACCTCAATAAGAATACAACCTTGATAACAAGTCTTATTTTATAATCTCCATGAGAGTCTTCTTATCAAGTTTTGATGTTTTTAAAAAAAGATTGAAAAATTTTCTCCTTTCATTGTCTTTGTATTCTTTGGATGAATTTTGGAATTCAAGAGAAATCATAAATGATAGTTTAGAAAGATGATTTGATTTAATTTTGTTTTGTTTATTCTTCTTAAGCTTAACATTTGTTTTTAAAAGATAATGATTGTTTTAGCGATAAAATAAGTAAAGCATAATTCATCTTTATATTTATTTGACGCTATTCATTGTATAAAAACTTGTACTGTGAATGAATAAAGAGAATTTGAATTGAATTGAATTGAAGGTTCTACTGTATTACAAAACGTAGTGCACCTTGTTGTTGATGTCGTAACCACTGACACTGTAAGTGTACATGAGGAATGAGCCACCCTGGCTGGCACTAGGGCTACACTCGGGTATGTCTGGATCGTGCTCCGAACCCCAGTTGTGACCAAACTCATGAGCCGTCACCAGATCTGCTTCGCGAGTGATCACACGCTGCCCGTAGTGGTTCCTGCTGGAACTCAGCCCCGAGTTGAGGTACAGCGTGTAGCCATTCTTGAAATACTCTGAGAAAGTAAAAATCTGTTATGTTCATGCTGTAATGTATCAAACAAAACTATTTTTAGAATTGTTTTCTTAAAATAAGATAACCTATAGGAGTCATTTGATATTTTCAAGTCGTTTTCCTGAATCACAGTAGATTTTGCTGAAAGTTTGAGATACTTCACTCTACCATCAAATTAATAATTTGATGTAAAATCCTTCAGGAGTATTCTCTAAAGTCGAAGTTGAATTCCATCATGCAATCTACCAGAATGTCAAGTAGGATCACACGCACACGGCATAATAAAGAGTTAGAAAATACATTTTAGTGTTTACGTTCAGCAAATATCTATCACCATAACATGCTATCATCTATATAATTAATACGCTACATGAAACTTTGTCGGTTGAACTCCTACGCCATTTCTTAACCGATTTTATCCATTGACCTCTCATTGGAAAGAGCGTGTTGCGTAGATTTGCAAACTGGCCTTACATTTTTGAAAAAGTCCCTTGGGCTCTGCCCCAGTGGCTTTGAAAGTTCCCATGTTATCCTTATGAAGAACATAATATTGTTTAAATTTTGATCAGCTGTATAATTTAATATTGCTGTTATTTATTTTTCAATTCAATGAAACACATTTAGTACATTTATTTACTATTTGAGTTTGTGTAAACATAACCCCCAAGACGGATCGTGTTAGTATGGTTGTATCTTAAATTTGTGTATTTATCGTTGTTTTGTGTCGCTATGACGGATCGTGTTAGCATGATTGTAACTTAAATTTGGCATTTATCGTTGTTTTGTGTAGCTATGATTTGTTTATTTGTTGTTTTTTTTTTCTTTTAAATGCCTCCAACGCGATGACAACGAAACATAGACAGGAGGCGTAATCGTGATAACGACCGCAGCTACAGAACTAACGCTAGTGGCGCGTAAAAGGCTTAGCTCATCACAGTCAGCATCTGACCCTGGACAATCTCAACTATTTGGTTACAAATGCGCCCTAACACTACCCCAAAACGACTTTTCGTTCTCAATTGGCCCTCTATCAATGACCTGTGTTGCCTGTACAGCAAGGCATTTTGAGAAGGAGAAAACCGGCCGGAATGCTTTAGGTTTATCAATAACGGAAATAAACAAGGTCTGATTTACACAACGGTAATCTTTGAGTTGACTCTTGTAAACTCATTGTAAATATGACTGTTATTCGTTTTGAAATAACTCCTGTAATACTTTGCGATTGCTCGAATTCGAGCAACATGTAAACTAGTACTGTATATACTGTATTAAAACGTGACAGGGTTTTTTTATTTCAAGATTCTGAATCTACCACTTGACAGATTTTCATGGTTTTTGTGTTGAAAGAAAGATAATTTTGAGAACTAGGGAATGTCGAAGCCATAGTTTAGGGATTCAGTTTTTTAAAAATTAAGTTTTAAATTTTAAAAAGTCTAGCAGCCGACGCTAACATTCTACTCTAGCTTGTGGTTTATACCATTTGCTTTACATAACAGCTGTAAACACTCAGCGTTTTCGACACAAATTCAGCTTTTGGATGAAAAAGATATGGCATATGTAGAATTGACTTATTTATACTATGTGTAATGCTATAATCATTGAAACGTTCATTTAATCGGTAAGAGGATGAGAGTTTATTTAAATATACATATAGTAAAATAATAGATGTTCTAATTTATATTTTGAGCAGTCTTTAAATTATTTTGGTTTGTTTTAGTGAAATATAATTTGTTATAACTAACAGCTGGTTGAATAAAAAATATTCTATAGAACTATGAGGTTAGTTTATTTACTCTGAGATTTTTTAATTGATTATAGGAGATAAGTAAGATTCTATAACCATTCCTGTATTGAATCGAAGCTCACAAATCTTTAAAAGAAAGCTTATGCAAATTATTTTACTACTAGACTTTTTTAGGAAAGGTTGGGAAAATAACAATGATCACATGTTTTAATTAATCTTGGAAGCTTTTTTAGCAAATTTCCCATATAGGGAATAAGCTATTACCGTAGTACTCATGGTAAGACCTGGACGCGGGACCGATTTTTTTTTTCGTTTTGAGGTCCCTAGAGGCCAAAACACCATCCGTTCAAATTCATATATATATATATTTATATATATATTTATATATATATATATATATATATATATGTGTGTCCGTTAGCTCGATAACTCGAGCAAAAATGGTCCGATTTTGATGAAATTTGGTACAAACGTGTAAACCTACATTTATTCGAACGAGTTCGCAATCCAGCATGATCGGACCATGGGAACGGGGGTTTACGGGGGGTGTTATGGGGTAAAAATAGGTTTTTCCCATTTTTGACCCAAAAAACATAAAATTTAGCAATTTCTTTCCAAACCATTTTGTAGATCTTAAAAAAACAAATAATTTAGTATATTGAAGCGTTATTATGCGCCTAATGGTTACGGAGAAAATTTCAAAAAATTGTAAATTTAAAATTCCCATGTTATTCTTATGGAGAATAAGTAAACTGTTGTATTTTGCTTGTTTATGAAGATATTTTGAACAAATTTGGAAAATGTACTCATTGCATATTAAACTATTTCACAAAAAAAAAAAAATGTTCTTACCCCATGTTCCAGAAAACCTAAGTACTTGTTAAACCAATGCTATTTAAATGGGGAATAAATGTGATATTTTTAAGGAGATAATTAAGAGTTAATCCAATTAGGCAAAATGGAAATTCGCTTAGTCTATACGTTTGCTGCGGCGGGGGTATTTTAAACTGTCATTGAAAAAATTTGAATCCATACAAAAATATCCTTTTGCTCAATGTATAAAAGTCTTAATTGATTTATTCAACTCACCCAGGCACTTCAGACTTATTTTAACGCCAAGGAAGAATGTAATTCACTCCAAGTTTGAAGCTGTTGCTGTGGACGGAGAAGGGAACGAGACTCCAGTCGGGGTTGGTGAGTTACCCAAGGTTTTCTTGTAATTAATATCTGATTTGTATTTAATCATAACTAATAAACATTTAAGACCTTAAAAATGGTGTCAATATAATCAAATTTAACACTTACTTTATACTTTTTCAATGAAATGGGGACCATACAAAGTAGGTATTTTAAGCCAAGTATGAATGGAGATGAGTGTAGGATGAGTGGCGCTATCTTGTAGTCTTGTTAGTGATTAAGGCCGACTTATTCCTTAGACACAGCTGTTAATTAATAGCCCATACAGGTAATAGCAACTAAGGGACCTTAAGGACAAACATTCTAGCATAGTAATTCCCTATGGGGTTTGTCTCTTAATATTATATATAAAAAATTAATATTCTCATTTACTTGAACTTATTTCAAATTTCAGTATAAAATATAATTTTTTAATAAGTAAACTGTTGTAGTTTGCTTGTTTATGAACATATTTTGATCAAATTTGGAAAATGTTTTTATTTCTTACTAACTATTAACATTTTACAAAAAAAAAAAAAAAAAAAAAACAGTTTTACCCTCCCTGATGCAGCAAACCTAAGTACTTGCTAAACTAATTCTTTTTAAATCGGGAATAAATGTTATATTTTTAAGTAGACATTTCAGTGTAAATCAAATCAGTCAAATGGAAATTTGCTTAGTCTGCAGGTTTGCTGCGGCGGGGGTATCTTTAACTTACTATAAATTTTTAACTGCTTAAACTATGCTTGAATTAGTAATAGACACACTAATACAGTGGACTACTCGATTCCCGTATGTAGGACGGGCCAACAGCTCTTATATGTTTAAATTTGGATTAAATCTTTCTTTGACAAATTTAGGCCCTTAGTAGTTTTGTTTGTTTTTTTAAATATGGGGTTTTGTGACTAAGTTTCTATATAAGGTTGGTTTGGTTAAGACTGCTTTTAATCCATTGTAATAGACAACTTACTAAAAGCTCAATAAAAATTAAAATATACGGTATCAGCAATCTGACACATACTTTCTCCCATTAGCTTGTCAACAACCTTTGTCATGGGCAAGTGATGAGAGTAACTATGATATTTAATAGGTAAAATCACAAAAGTTGCATTAACTTTTGGAGCGTAATTTTTACAGGAAGCTCTATTTTGTGTAGAATTATAAGGACCATTACAAACAAATTTCAATCAGAATTGTGTTTTCTTAATCCATTTTTTCATGGGTTTTTATAGGAAAATAACAAAAGTTACAATAACTTTTGAACCATAATTTTTACAGGAATTAGGGGGTTTCACTATGTTGTTAAGAATTATAAGGATTATCACATAACAAATTCAATCAAAACCGGCTTTTTTATAAAATATGATATTCTCTTATTTTATGGGGGTTTTGTGGGAAAATAACATAATTTACAATAACTTTCGAACTGTAATTTTTACATAAATGGGAGTTATACCATTTTGTTCAGAATTTAGAGGGCTACAACTTACTCAATTTTTATAAAGATCGTTCAGGCCATTTTGACTCTTGAACAACAACTTTTTCATCTTACCCAACAAAATTTACAACTCATTATAAACTATTGCATCTTTATACTACTTCCAAAACAAAAAAAATAACAAAGTGAAACAAAAATTTTGACAATGGCACAATCTGTCGGAGGCTTACACAACTATTTTATTTTTAATTTAAAACTTGCTACAGCTGATTTTGAATTAAAAGCGAGATCTATCTATCTATATATATAATACGTGAAGCCGTTTTTTGTTAACGCAACTCCTCCCTTATTTGTGGACCAATTTCAATGTTTAAGGTGTCAAAAGATTCGTCTCAATATGCAGTTTTGCAATAAGGTTTTAGAATTTTAAAATTTCTACTCTTAAGGGCGTGAGACCCTCTTAAAGGTCGGGTTTTCTCCATAAGAAATACATTGAACAAATTTAAAAACAAAAAACAGCTGTTTATAAAAAGAAACGCATTAGCTTTTTAGGGAGAAAATATTAATGTTTGTAATATTCAGTAGGTTTAGACCAAGTTAAACAGTTAATCAGTTTTGTTGGAAGAACGGAAAACGCCTCAAG